CCGGGGCAGGGCTGGAGAGCGCGCGCGCGCGCGCACGTGGGTTTGGGGCGGAGAGAGGGAGCTCGGCGCGAGGCTGGCTGAGGGCCTCAGGTGAGTTGGGGAAGGGGCGTGGGGGAGCAAGTGTGGGAGCCAAGGGTGAAGGGGAGCCGCCATTTGGGTTGGGCGCCCCGCGGAGCTTGCCAAGTTCCTCGTCCCAAGCGGAGTGGATGCTGCTCCGTATGCCTTGAGAAAGGGAAGGGGTGGTGAGGACCATGCGTGGGATTTTCAGGCGCTCTCCTGATCGGGCCGAATGCGCCTACTCTTACCGTGGGTTCTTAACATTGAAGGTAAAGGGGGACGATCCAGAGTCCTGTCGCTTCCTACCCTTGAGCTCTGGGTTTGCCTTGCCCCATCAGCCCCACGTCACTACCAGTGATGTGCAAACTTAGCATTCTTTAGAGTTGGGGAGAGATGCTTGCTAACACGCAGATTTCTACACCCCACCTCCTCCCGATAGGTTAGGATTCTAGAGCTATGGAACAGGGAGGGCCCTTTGAGGGATTTTTACTGAAGTATCTTTTTAAAACCAACTTGAGCTTCTGGAGATGGATGATTTCTGGTGTGAGACATGAATGCATCGTTAATTAGGAATGAACTTCAGTGAGATATAGTTGAAATTTTCCATGTAGAACAGTAACGATAATACATGTAATACCCCAGTTAATTTAACAATAATGAATATCTTTTTTCCCCCTCTAGGAATGGGTGAATTTAAAGTCCATCGAGTACGTTTCTTTAATTATGTTCCACCAGGGATCCGCTGTGTGGCTTACAATAACCAGTCAAATAGATTAGCTGTTTCACGAACTGATGGCACTGTGGAAATTTATAACTTGTCAGCAAACTACTTTCAGGAGAAAGTAAGTCTTTTGGGAGCCTGATTTGGCATTTCTGATGTTAATTTTCTGCTCAAGGTCCATTTTACAACTTGTATGTCTTACAGAGTTCAAGTGTCTCCTTATCCTTTGTGGGGTTGTTTAGAACTATATAAAATCGCTTGTCACACTGATGAGAGAAAGAGTTGACCTGTGTGATGTTAGATCCTACATAGGAATTTTGGTGTCTCACTCCTTGTCATTTGGAAACAGGTTTGCTGGGTCTTTTGGCCCCAACAAGAAGGGAAGTTGTTGAGACCATTGCAACTTTGGGGAGGCACCATTTCCTGCTGGGTGTGTCAGTACCCCTTTCATTGTCAACTCAGAAAAGATGAAACATTTTCATCAGAAATTCTTTGGTGACATGATGGCAAGAAGGTGGATTCTTAAGTTCATTTGTCTGAAAGAGTGTAAATTTATATTTGGGAGTAAAGGAGATTTTTAAAAATTAGGTAAGACATCCTTTGGATGTACACAGAGGTTTGTCAGGCAGCACTTATGTTTCCAGTTGAATAAGTGGCAAAAACTGAGAAGACAAATGTTAGGGGTTCTACCTTCAGGATTCTTGAAGACCATTGGGGTGGGGGAGATCAGTATACCTGACCAACACAGTGAAGCAGAGCATAGCATAGCACCTTAGAAGAGAAGTATCTCACTCTGAGAAAGTGATTTAAGAGACCTGGAAAGGGAGACTTCTTGAACTAACACCTGAAGAACTAATAGAGGCATAAAAATTTTAAGTCATTGCCCACCACAAATATGTCATTCACCTTTTGTAGTGCAGAAAAACATGCTCTAGTGCATGCTTGTTGCATCCTCTGATTTTTGTCATTTATAAGAGTTGTATTTATTTAATGTCTTTCTTCTCACTAAACTTCAAATTGGTGAGACCAGGAGCCATGTCAGTGATGTTCGTGATTGTGTTATTCCTCTATTTAGCAAATGCCTAGTACAAAGCTTTTGCTAAGTTAACTTTGGTTGGATAAACCAACCTTTCCTTACCCAGTCTCCCTTCTTTTCTTTTCTCTCTATCCTTCAAGCATTAACTCAGTCTAGTCTTCTGCTTTTTCCATATGCCCTTCTCTTCTAGTTAAGATTGCTTACCTTGGTTAGCAGTCACTCTCAGGGCAAGACAAAAAAAAAAAAAAAAACAAGAAGAAATGAATGAAAGACAGGAGTAAAAAGACCTAGTTTTCTTCATGTCTTTGACTTTGGCTCTTTGGCCAGACCAGTTCACCTTTATGTGTTTGGGCCTTTTCAAGTTCAAATTCAAGTAAAGAAAATTACACCTAGTTAGTTTCCTTTTGCATCAAGCAGGGATAAGATTAAAATGCCTTGGTATGTATGAAAACTATTTTTTCCTGGAAAATTTAGAAATCTGAAACTTGAGCAATAAGCTAGAATGAGCTACATTATTTTATTTTTTAAACAGCTTTTTACAGGTATACTTGACACAGTAAGCTGTATGTATTTATAGTACAATGTACACATTGATAACATTCAGTATATATAGTACTGCATCTCTTAATAGTGATGATAATCATTTTGAGAACTGCATCATTAGTCAAGTTGGTTTTTATAGAGTATACTTACATCAAGATGGTGTAGCTTTACACCTAGGCTATATAACTGTACAGCATGTTATCATGTCAAATATCATGTTAAATATGTAGGCAAGTATTTGTGTATCCAAACATAGAAAGGTATAGTACAAAAGATAAAAATGGTACCCTTGTCTAGGGTGGTTGCTATGAGTGAAGCTTGCAGGACTGGATGTTGCTCTGAGTGAAACAGTGAGTGAGTGGTGAGTGAATATGAAGGCCCAGGACATGACTGTACTACCAGAGACTTTATTAACACCATGGACTTAGGCCACATGGAATCGATTGAGACAAGGTCTCGCTCTTTAATTCAGACTCGCCTTGAACTCACTGTGTAGCCCAGGCTGGCCTCAGACTCATAGTGATCCTCCTGCCTCAGCCTCCTGTGTTCTGGGATTGTAAGCATGCAGCACCATGCCAAGCTCACAAGGAATTTATTTCAAAACTCTTCAATAATAAGTTAACTTTTGCTTTCTATAATTTGTTTATAAACTTAAAATATTTTTACTTTGACCCTTTTAATAACAGCTTAAAATACACATTTGTACAGGTATAGATTTTTTCTCTCCCCCTTTTTTTATTAGTATGTATTTGCAGTGCATGATAAACTTTATTGTGGGGTCTTGGTACGTATACATAATGCATCTAGATCCTTTTTACTTCCCCCTTTTCGTCTCACTCTCTGGCCTCCCTCATCCCCAAATCCCCTTCCCAACTCTACATAACCTATCTCCCTATTTCCTATCATCTGTTGATATTTTCTTTATATCCTTATTCTTTTAAAGTATTTTAAATATAAGCCAGGCGTGGTGGTGCACACCTGTAATCCCAGCACTCCAGAGGCTCATGCAGGAGGATCACTGAGTTTGAAACCAGCCTGGGCTACATAGTGAGTTCCAGGTCAGTCTCAACTACATAGTGAGACCCTGTCTCAAAAAAAAAAAAAAATTTTTTTTTTTTTTTTTTTTTGGTACCAGGGATCGAACTCGGGTCCTTGCACTTGCAAGGCAGGTGGCGGAACCACTGAGCTAAATCCCCAGCCCCCCCAAATTTTTTTTTTAATATAAAAATTTTTTGTTAAAAACTAAGACACCTGATGCTGGGGATTTAGCTCAGTGGTTCCGCCACCTGCCTTGCAAGTGCAAGGACCCGAGTTCGATCCCTGGTACCAAAAAAAAAAAAAAAAAACACACACCCGAGCCAGGGATTTAGTTCAGTGGTTCCACTGCCTGTCTTTCAAGCACAAGGGCCCAAGTTCAATCCCTGATACCACAAAAACAAAACAAAACACCAAACTAAGAACCCATAGTGTAGCATGTTTGTGACTGCCTAATTCAGTAATAATATGAAAACCCCCAAAATATATAGATATTTGTGTATATATATATATATATATACATATATATGTATTTGCACAGTATATATATATGTGTAGTGAAACCATCACCCAATCAAATACAATTGGATGCATCACACCAAACTTGAATATACTTCACTCTGCTAAAAAGGTTTTACTAAATTAGTTCTAATTTAAAAAAGACACAGAAACTAGATCCAACTGTGCAAGTAAACTACAGTAATTTTAAGTAAAATTTGAACCTCTAAAAAGTAAAATGTCAGCATGATCATGTGAGAGCCCAAAACCCCACAATAGTTATTTGAAAGAAATAATTGTTACTGAATTAAGTACCTATGATTGGTCAGTACTGGTGGCTGATGAATTCATGGCAGGTTGAGAACTTAACACTGTTTCTATAGTTTTTCCCAGGTCATGAATCTCGCTCTACAGAAGCTCTGTGTTGGGCAGAAGGACAACGACTCTTTAGTGCTGGACTCAATGGAGAAATTCTTGAGTATGACTTGCAGGCGTTAGACATCAAATATTCTATGGATGCCTTTGGTGGACCCATTTGGAGTATGATTGCCAGCCCCAGTGGCTCTCACCTTTTGGTCAGTAAGCAACTATTGGTAATTCATATCGAGATTTTCTTGTGCCCATTTTCTCCCCTGCGTTGATAAGAAGAGTAAAATTTTATTATGGCACATATCAATTCCAATGTTTGAATTTCAGTAACTCCAACCATAAAATTGGAGTTGACTTTTTGTTTGTTGGTTTTTTTTTTTTTTTTTTTTTTTTTTTTTTTTTTTAAATGTAGTTGAGACTGACCTGAAACTCATTATGTAGCCCAGGCTGGTCTTGAACTCGCAGAGATCCTCCGGCCTCAGCCTCCCAAGTGCTGGGATTACAGGTGTGCACCACCACGCCCGGCTGGTTTTTTGAGACAGACTCCCGCTATGTATTTCAGACTGGCCTTGAACTCACTGTGTAGCTGGGGCTGGCCTCAAACCCTGAGATCCTCTTGCTCTAGCTTCCCAAGTGTATTACAGATGCGTCACCACATATGGCTGAAGTTGATATTAGGATTAAAAATCTCTTATTATCATTTTGCCTTCTTTTGTTGCTATCTTGGACCTTGTTTATATATTTATGAAATGAGAAGGAAGATTAGTTAATTGAATTTCACATTTTCCAAACTATGTTCTTTGAAACTGGGAGATGTACAGACTATTTTTTTTGTTGTGGTATGCTTTGTGTTTCATGATAAATTTTGTTTCAGAAATGCAGCATAGTAAATGCTTCTGTAGATTCACCACGTACATATGTATTATAAGATCTGAGAGGTCCCTCAATAAGTTAACCTGTGTGTGTGTGTGTGTGTGTGTGTGTGTGTGTGTGTGTGTTTCAAATTTCTCAGCAAAATTTTTGAACATAGACTCTTCCACCATGATTGTCCCATATGAGAAAATGCTTTCAAGCTGGGTGTGGTGGCATGCCTGTAATCCCAGCACCCAGGAGGCTGAGGCAGGAGGATCACCTTGAGCTGGAGCCAGCCTGGGCTACAGAGTAATTTTAGGGCCAGCCTGAGCTACAAGGGGAGACCCTAACTCAAAAAACGAAAACCAAACCAAACAGAAAAAACATGCTTTCAGAGTTTTAGCTTTTCTGTGATGAGTGTGGGGTTTCTTCTTCTTCTTCTCTTCTTTTGGACTAATCTGTATAAATCTTAAAATGTTTCCATTTAGGTTAGTAGGTCTCTTATTTGGGCCATATGTCTTGAGCAGAGCTATGCTATGATACCCTACAACTGTGCCATGCAGGAATTGGGCCACTGATCAGAAATCTTAATATCAGCCTACTTTTTGGCTAGGGTATGAAGATTGTCAGAGTTGCACTATCTGCTTTTTTTTTTTTTTTTTTTTTTTTCCAATCGGGTTCTTGGGTTTGTGAGGCAGGTGGCAGAACCACTGAGCTAAATCCCCAGCCCTCTGCTTCTTGATACTATACTTTTTTTCTCTCATACACTTATTTTTCTTTCAGGACAGGTGATAACTTTAGAGAAGAAATACACAGTGTGTATATATATTACATATGTGCATAATATGTATATAATATATATTACATTCTATATAATGTTTATATTTGTTTGCTACCTCATTTTCTTTAAAAGGTTGGCTGTGAAGATGGATCTGTGAAACTGTTTCAAATCACCCCTGACAAAATCCAGTTTGAAAGAAATTTTGATCGTCAGAAAAGTAAGGGTCGTTTTGGTGGGGCAGTGAATAGCCTTAAGAAGTTATGTTTCTGTGCCACTGGGGCTGGGATATTTTCCCATGGCTGCAGGTAATGTCTTATCTCTATGTTAATTTATTTTGAGTGCAGGGACTGTGTTAGAAACCATCTTATTATATAGCATATTTATGGTTGCCTGGTTATATTTCAGAAAACTAAAAATCCAAACTAGGAAAACTAATGTTTCTGTGGAAGTCTGTTTATCACTTATTTTTGTGAAGTTCTTTTTGTTGTTGGGTTTGGTTTTATTTATTTATTTATTTTTGTATCGGGAATCGAACTCAGGTCCTTGTACTTCTGTGGCAGGTGGCAAAATTTTGGTTTGGTTTTTTTGAGACAGAATCTTACTTTGCAGTTCAGGCTGGACTTGAGCTCACAATGTAGTCCAGGTTGGCCTCCGACTGATGGTGATCCTTGTGCCACAACCTCCCAAGTGCTGGGGCTGTAAGGTGTACACTAGCATGCCTGACGTTTTGTGAAGTTTTGATGAATATACATGAAGTTTTGAAACTAGAATTTCATTAGGACCTGTGGTTCCTTCCTTTCTTTCTTTCTTCCTTCCTTCCTTCCTTCCTTCAGTGCTAGGGATTGAACCTATGTTTCCAGGCATGATAGAAAAGTACTCTACAGCTGAGCCACATTGCTAAGTAGCCCTTTTTATTTTTATTTACAAAATATATTTATTAAATATATTTATTGATACAGGGTCTTGCTAAGTTGCCTGGGCTGGCCTTGAACTTGTAGTCGTCCTGCCTCAGCCTATGCAGCAGCTGGCGTTTCAAGTGTGTGACACCACACTTGGCCAGTATCTGTAGTTCTTGATCCTTCTAGTCTATTCAAATTGAATGAAGAAGTTTTGTAGACAGTTGCCCATGCTTGAGCTTTAGTTGGACTGGATTGACACTGGCCTGTAAAGCAGGTATTGGCAAACAGTTTCTTTATTTTTTCTTTATTTGTTTTTGTACCAGGGATTGAACTCGGGTCCTTGCGCTTGCAAGGCAGACCACCAAACTGCTGAGCTAAATCCCGGGCCCCAAACAGTTTCTTTAAAGAATCAGATAGTAAATATTTTAAGCATTGCAGCTCTAAAGCAGCCATAGAAAATACTTAAATAAATGGGCATGTTTGTGCTCTGGTGAAACTTTACAAAACTGGTAGAGGACTTTTTTGCTGATCACTCTTCTAGAGAATAATAACTACTGGGTATTGCCTCTATGCTTTATTAGTAATTATATTCTGCTAATCAGAGTTTTTGTTTTGTTTTTTAGTATGTTTTAGGATTTTTTTTAGTTTAAAGTTGACAGGATGCTTTTTAAAAAATTATGAAACAAATAAGTATTTCATTCTACTTTGAAAGCAACATTTTGTTTGTTTTGTTTTCTGGTACCAAGGATTGAATTCAGGACCTTGAGCTTGTGAGGCAGGTGCGCTTATAAGAGCCCAGGTGTGGTGTCACTGAACTTAATCTCCGGCCCTTTGTTTTATTTTTTTGATACAGAATCCCCCTATATCAGTGATGGCAAACCTTTCAGAGCTTTCAATGATAACAAATAGCCTCTGTGGCACACTTTCGCCCCCAATGCCCTACATTGTCCAGATCAGCCCGGAACTTGCTATATAAGGACAGGCCTCAAATTTATAATCTTCCTACCTCACCTTCCACAAGAGCTGGGGTTACAAGCATTTTCCCGCAGTGCCTGGCCTCAGTGAAAATTCTTACAGTCATACCGTGCTTAATAGCAGGGAAATGTTCTGAAAAATGTGTTAATTTAGTTACATGAGCATCATAAGTTGTATTTACACAAACTTAGGTGGCTATATCATTTGGCAATATAAATTTATGGGACTAACATTCTGTAGGTGGGCTGGGGATTTAGCTCAGTGGTTCCGGCGCCTGCCTCACAAGCACAACAAGGACCCAAGTTCGATCCCCAGTACCAAAAAAAAAAAATTCTATAGGTAGTTAGATGGAAATATCATTACCACATGACTATATGCACATTTTGGGACATTCATGTAAAAATTTCTCTTTGATCAATTTGTAGTACAATTACTGGGGCCCCAAAATACATTCTTTAAATTTTATTAGGTTACTACTAGATCACCTACAAAAAGTTGTATTTGTTTCTATTTGCCACTTATATATTATTAAAATTAGGATCAAACACTTCCTTTTGCATCCCAGAGCAGTTTCTCATGTTACAAAACAGTCCTTCACAGGGGTATGGTGGTTGAAAAGAACTAAGTCTGTGGAACTAGCCCTGTAGATAATTGTGATTACCCTTTCTGTATATTTATGTGTATGCCATTTTCTTTTTGTTGTAAAAACCCAAGGTCGCATCCTGAGTCTCAGCTGGCATCCCTGTGGTACCCACATTGCAGCAGGCTCCATAGACTACATTAGTGTGTTTGATGTCAAATCAGGTGACTGTTTTTCTCAGTTCATTCAGGATGTGGGTTTTGTCAGATGGGTTCCAAAAGCTTCACTCCTTGTCATGCTTTCAGTGACCTTAAAGGCCTAACCTCTCATTAACCTTCTGCGATGTCCTCTAGGAATTTCACTCATTTCTTGGATTACTACTCCTGCCTATAGGGGAATCTTAGTTGTTTGGTGGGATGCAGTGTTTTTCATCATAGTAAGAATCCATAATAAAATTCATCTTTAACTAATACTATGTTTAATTTGAGTGATCATTAGAAAACCTGTTTATGTATCCCAGTCCTTGATTAAAGCAGAACATACATCTCATAAATTATTGTGTTATGAGATTAGAAAGTTAGACAAGCATGTGTTTTTTTCTGCTTTTGGCCTTGAAAACTGACTAATAATGTTGTCTGGTAATAAAGTTGACCTTTACTTGTTATATGGGCATGTCTGTATTTTGTCTAAAGTATGGAAGCAAAATAGGTCATTTTTCCTTTTCATTCTTCAATGCGTAAGGTTTTTAAAATTTGTTATCAGTTATAATGCATATAAAGAATTTCTTAGGGTTTATTACAAAAAAGTAGGTTCCACTTGTATCCCTTCTGTCATTCCTCAAAGGCAATCACTACAATTCTTATCTGATTCTTTTGGTATTTGTCTCTGTGCTATACATGGTATCCTTATAATGCTATATTTTGATTTTTCAGTTTTTTTTATTAACTTCTGCAACTGAGCCCTCTTTTCTTTTTTTGTTTTTATGAGCCCTCTTTTCTTTATCTTCTGGTCCTCCCGCACTCTTCTGATCTGTCTTTTATGCTTATGTTGTAACTCTCTTCAGATTAGTGGTCAGTGTTTCCACTGTTCTGATTGTATAAATACTACTCTTAAATTACCTTCTCTGTATACTGTCTGTTTAATGACAACCCCCTATTCATTCTCAGATTCTTTCAGTTGTGTAAATTAATGTGAAACATATCTTTTTTTCCTGTTGCTTTTTTGTTCCTGCATAAGTCTCTCTCAGACCTTTTTGACTTGTTCTCATCTAGTTTAGCAGTTCTGAGCCTGCAGACAGCTGTGAAGTCTAGAACTCTGCTTAGCACAGTCAGTGTGGAGGTTCCCTTTGCTTCTCTGTTGGGTAGGATTCCATGTGGATATTAGCAAATCTTTCTCTCTCTCTCTCTCTCTCTCTCTCTCTCTCTCTCTCTCTCTTTCTCTCTTTTTTTTTTTGTATTGGGGCTTGAACTTCAGGACCTACTGAGCTAAATCCCTGGGCCAGTGTTAACAAATCTGACACCATTCTGATCTGTTGTACATATAGAGACCTGAGTTTTTTTGCTGGGAACATCTAGGATGTTCTATTTGTTTATTTATTTACCCCTTTCTTGTACTGGGAATCAAACCCATTATATATGCCTCATACATGTTAGGCTAGCACTGTACCGCTGAGCTTCATCCCAGCCGTTTATCCTTATCATCCTGAAGTTTGATAACTGGTTTTCTTGTTGTGTGGGTCTATTTTTTGGTGTGTAAATCAATTGTCTGGACTCCTGGGGGGGCTCTTTTAATCTAAAACTCATGTCCTTTAGTTATAGGGAATTTTTTTTTTTCAATATTGGAAAATGAACTTAGGGCCTTCCCACTGAGCCTCATTCTCAGCTCCTGTTTCAATTTTTTAATTTTGAGATTGGGTTTCACTAAGTCATTAAGTTGTCCAGGCTGGGCTCAAACTTTTGATAATCTTCTTGCCTCACTCAGCCCCACATCTGGTTTCTGGGAGAAATTTTTATAATTATTTTGTTAATGTGTTTTTCTTCATTTTCCTCTTTCTGAATTTTATTACTGCATTTGGGTGTTGCGTCTTTCGGGGAGAGGTCTTTAAAAAATTTTTTTTTATCTTTTAAATTTTTAACTTTTGCCATGCTTTACTGTAAGTTTTCCATCATTGTATTTTAATCTATTAAGTGAAGTTTTCATTTTGCCATTTCCAGAGGACGATTTTTGTTGTTTTATTGTTTTATGAATCAAACCCAGGGTCTTGTGCGTGCTAGGCACTCTGTGACTGAGCTGTGACCCCATCCCTGAATTTTTTTTTTTTTTTTTTTTTTTTAACTTTTGCCATGCTTTACTGTAAGTTTTCCATCATTGTATTTTAATCTATTAAGTGAAGTTTTCATTTTGCCATTTCCAGAGGACGATTTTTGTTGTTTTATTGTTTTATGAATCAAACCCAGGGTCTTGTGCGTGCTAGGCACTCTGTGACTGAGCTGTGACCCCATCCCTGAATTTTTTTTTTTTTTTTTTTTTTAACCCAGGGATACTGGGAATTGAACACAAGGTCTTTGCACTGAGCTGCATTCCCAGCCCCTTTTCATTCTTAAATTTTGGCACAGGGCTTCACGATGTTGTCCAGGCTGGACTCTGGGCTCCAACCTGTGATCCTCCTGCCTTAGCCCTCCCACAGTGCTAGGATTACAGAGATGTGCCACCATGCCCAGCTGAATGTTATTTCTTACATTGTTCTTTTTTGTTTTGTTATGCACAAACTCTTCCTTTTTTTTTTTTTTTTTTTTGGTACTGGGATTGAACTCAGGACCTTGCACTGCAAGGCAGGCGCCGTACCCCTGAGCTAAATCCCTGGCCCACGCAAACTCTTTCTAAGGCTGTTCCACATGTCAAATGTTTTTTACCCTGCCCATTTTTCCCCTGATGCTCATTTATTTGTTGTTTCTGTTAGTCTGTTTGGTCTCTGCCTTTCACATTGGAGGCTTTCCTTGCGTGTCTGGTGTTGGTTCTCATCCTATCAGTGGACCATGTGGAACATGGGCTTCACTAAAGAATGATCTGGCTGGAAATTTTGGCAGTTTTTGAAATTGGGACCTTTAGATCTTTTCTCTTAGGCCAGTCATATCCCCAGATGTTTTGTTCTTGGTGCTGAGGATCAACTGAGGGCCTTGTGAAGGCTGAACACACACTATACATACTGAACACCCAGGCCCTCCCAGATAAAATCTTCTGTCTCCTGCTTGCTGTCTGCATTCTGTGAAGAAAACTGGTGTTCTTGATATTAGTTAGAAATTTTTACTTACCCCTGTTTTTCACGTGCTTCCCCTTAATCTGTGTCCAGTAACCCTTTAAAGAGTAGGTCTTCAATCTTCTGTTCAGATGGAGTTTGGGAAGTTGCTTGGTTTCTTAGAGAATGAGTGTCTTGAGAGTCTTATACCTTAAGTTTGTTTTCAGCCAACCCCTCTTTTCAGCTCCCTAATTTACCTGTATTATGAAGTTGGTAGCTTCTTGGCTTTTCTCCTGGCTGACTTGGGTCTTAGTTTTAGAACTCTTTTAAGTCGGTCACCTCTATACTATTTGCTTTTCAGTTCCTGGAATTTTGTTGCTGTTACCTTCTATCCCTTTCCCATGCATTGAACTTTAGAAAAGTGCAGAGTATAATGTATGTGTGCAACCAGTCCACTCTTAAGTGAATGTACACATCTCTCTTCATTTCACCTTCCAGAAGGGACCTTTTTTCTTGTTCTCACCCTTTTCCTCCCTCGCTCTCCCCTTTCTCTCCTCAAGTAACAACTTTGGACTTTTGAAACTGGGTTCACCAGAGCTATTTACTGACTGGCTGTTATTTGGGCAACTAACTGAACCGTATCATACCTGCCACAAGTACTTTTTGTAAACTAAAGGAGAAACAGGTTTTATCCACGGTGTTTTTCTTTTATTTTTCAGGTAGTGCTATTCAAAAGATGATCGTAGATAGGCAATACATGGGTGTGTCTAAGCGGAAGTGTATTGTGTGGGGTGTGGCCTTCTTATCTGATGGCACTGTTATAAGTGTGGACTCCGCTGGGAAAGTACAGTTCTGGGATTCAGCTTCGGGGACACTTGTCAAGAGCCATCTCATCGCAAATGCTGATGTACAGTCCATTGCTGTTGCTGATGTAAGTATGTAGTCCTGCCTTTGAGTGGTTGATATGCCACCTAGGTGGTGAGTCATTGATACCTGGCAAACATTGTTTCCTGATCCAGATGGTGTACTGGAAAAGATAAGGCCCCAATTTATTTCTGTGGACCTAATAATTAGAGAATATTCGGTAAAAGTTTGGGTAGCACATGGGTTTTCTTCAGGCTCTCCTCTCTAATCCATTCTGCTTGTAGATGAGGCACAAGCAGCCTAGAAGATTGTTGAAAAGTACTGTTTCAACTCTGTATGCTTGATATTCTGTTTCCTATTTAGAGCCAGTAGCAGATAACTTTAAAATGATTTTGGGAAAGTTCATTTTCTGCTATCTTAATAAGCTCAGACTTGTGCTGAAGAAGTGTGCTCTTTCCTATTGGTAACATGAATTCTAATTCAGAAGCCTTTGGGTCATTTAGCAGTAAGGCACAGAAAATGACTTTAAGATTTGTTGGCTAGATTCTGTATTTTTTGCCTACTTACTGTGAGTGTTATATGCTCTCCTATGTGTGGACATCCAGTTTTTCTTGTAGCACTCATTCATGCCTCCTTTTTTGCCCATAAAATATTCCTATCCTATTTCATAGATTTTTCTATGAAGACAATTTGATGTTTGTTAAAGCCCTGTAAAACACTGAGAGGTTACATATAAACTATAGTAGCGATGTAAGTTGAAATAAATAGGAGAAAATTAGTCCAAAAATTACTAAGTTTAGTACCATTTAAAGTGTAACTCCTTGGGCCAGAGATTTAGCTCAGCAGTGCTGCTACCCCTCGCAAGCGCAAGGTCCTGAATTCGTTCCCTAGTACCAAAAGAAAGGAAGGAAGGAAGGGCGAATAACTGCTTAGCTGGGTGTGGTAACACACGCCTGTAGTCTCAATTGTCTGGGACACTGAGGTAGAAGGATCACAAATTCAAGAGCCCATCCTGGGCAATTTAGTGACTTAGTGAGACCTTGTCACTTTTAAAAAGGCTGAAGATGCTCAGTGTGAAGTCCCAGTGTAACTACTCAAAGTATACAGATATTTCAAAGAACAAGGAAAATATATATTTACTGTTATCGGATGGCTTTTGGATATAGTTAGTGTTAAGGGAAAAAAATAGAACTATATCATGGTGAATTGAAATAGTACATAATAGTTTATTACAGGAAAGTTTGGAGGAGCAGATTTGGTTGGTGCACACCTATAATCTCAGCTACTCAGGAGGAGGATCACAAGTCTGAGGCCAGCCTGGGCAAGTTAGCAAGACCCTATCTCAAAATAAAATGCAGGGCCAGGGATTTGGCTCAGTGGTTCCGCCTCCTGCCTTGCAAGGGCAAGGACCCAAGTTCAATCCCCGGTGCCAAAAAAAAAAACTAGAGTCAAAATAAAATGGGCTGGGGATGTAGCTCAATACTTCCCGCGTTTGATTCCCAGTACTTCCCCCCCAAAAAAAAAACAGTGAGAAGGAGGAACATTTTTGCTAGTATGTATGTAGAATATCTTTGAAAAGATGAAAAAAGAAATACTAATAGTGATAACTTCTAGAAAAAATTAGGGGCAGGGAAAACAAGCTTAATTCACATCATAGATATATATATATTTTTTTTTTTAACACGTGCTTACATTATTATATTGAATGTTAGCTGTGATTATGAGATGTCTTTATTTTATCATCCTAGTAGAGATAGACTCATTGCCTTTGGGGGAAGCTTATTGGGTTTGAACCTAGGGCCTTTGGATTGATCTACATGCAGCCCTTTTTTATTTTTTCTTTTGAGATAGTGTCTCACTTAAGTTGTCTGGTCTGGACTTGAATTTTGATCTTCCCGCATCAGCCCCTAGGGTGCTAGGACTATGGGTAGGTACATCCCACTATGCTGTGGTAACACAGTGCTTTTTAAAATATAAAGTATATAAACAGGTAATATAAACTGACAGTTTTGAAAAATAGTTTGTATTTTTGTTTACTGAAAGAGTTCCATAAGGCTTAAATTTTGTCTTGTCACTTTTACATGTATGTGAAAAGGAAAATAAAAGTGAAATAAATTAAGGTACTCTTGAGACTTCTTAATCAGACTGTATAACTTTTTGACTTAGCCTAACTTTATCCACACATTTCTGCGCCGTCCCAAAGAGAGCAAGACTCAAAAAGTTTTGGAATCTGGAGCATTTTGGAATTTAGATTTAGGAATACTCAGCTAGTAAAATCTGTGTATATGTTCCAAAGTCTAAAAAAAACTATAGAGTCTAAACACTTCTTGTCCCAAGCATTTCAGATAGGGGATAGTCCACTTGTAGCAGAATTTCATTCCTGTGTATAGGTAGGTGTGTGTCCACATTTGTGTATCTATTCTTCTGTTGGTGGCCATTTGGATTGTTTCCATCTTTGGGTATTGTGAATGATACAGCTATGAACATTGATGTATAAGTGTCTGAATTCCTGCTTTTGATTCTTTTGAGTATTTGCTTTCGTTACTATTCTTGTTTGGGTTTTTTTGGGGGAGGTACTGGGGATCCAACTAAAGGTGTTTTGCTTGCAAGGCAGGCAGCGGCACCACTGAGGACAATCCCTAGCCACTTTTTTTGTTTGCCTTCTAAATTTCTTTTTTGTTGTTATTTCGTTTGGTTTGGTTTTTTGGGAGGAGGGGTTCTTTCTTATTTTTTTTGGTATGAATTTAAGAAACACCCTTATTAGTTCAAATGAAAAACAGTTGGTATTTATCTCTTTTGCAATGAGCCTTGTTTTCTTTTGGTCCTGAGGATCAAACTCAGGACCTTGTGTTTGCAAGACAGGTGCAGCACTGCTGAGCTACATCCCCAGCTGTAATGAGCCTATCTTGCATTTAAGTTATATGTTGCTAATAATAGGGACATAATATGAAAAATAGGGCACCGTGTGAACAGCAAAGTGTACTTAAACCTCTGGAAGGTAAAGACTTGTACAGTGAACACCTACTGTACATTACTGCCTGTGCTATACTTTTACATGGCTGGCAGTATAGTAGTTTTGTTTACACAGCATCTCCTCAAACCTATGAATAATGTTTTGTGCTGTGGTGTTTTGTTTTTTGGGGTTTTGTTTGTTTGTTTGGTACAGGGATTGAACTCAAGACTTTGTGCTTGCAAGGCAGGTGCGGCACCACTGAGCTAAATCCATCCATCCTGCACTATGGTGGGTTTCTTTTGAGACAGGGTCTTGCTATGTAGTTGCTACTGACCTGGAACTCACTATGTAGCCCAGGATGTTCTTGAACTCACAGCAATCCTCCTGTCTCAGCATCCTGAGTGCTGGGAGTAAAGGCGTGCGCCACCATGCCCAGGCCCGGCTATTTTTTTTGGTGGGGGGGTACTGGGGCTTGAACTCAGGTCCTTGTGCTTGCAGAAGCAGGTGCTGGAACCACTGAGCGAAATCCCTGGTCCTCGTTTTTGTTTCTATTTTGTTTTGTTTTGTTCAAACTTGGGTCCTTGTGCTTGCACAGCAGGCAGCAGAACCTTGGAGCTAAATCCCCGTCCTGCATTGTGGTGTTTTGACAGCTAGCTTGTCATTAGGACATAAGAATTAGGAATTTTGTTTTGTTTTGTTTTGTTTTTTGAGACAGGCTCTCACTATGTAGTTGAGACTGACCTAGAACTCACTATGTAGCCCAGGCTGGTCTCGAACTCACAGCAGTCCTCCTGCCTCAGCCTCCTGAGTGCTGGGAATACAGGCGTGCACCACCACACCCATCTGAGACTATCATCTTAATATGCAACCTTTCATTGATTAAAACATGATGCAGCATTGACTGTATGTAAAACAACTAAAGATATGAACTTAATGCTTTCCTCGATTCTGGTTGCAAACCGAATTTGACGAGAAATGAATCAGATTTCTCCATCATTTAATTTAACCATTAAATTTGATTTGGTTCTCATCCAATTCGGTTTGTGACCAGAATTATGGAAAGAATTAAGTCGTGACCCAGTGTACCACTCTCATTGTTAAATTTGTTGGTAGGGAACACATTCTTACCTATGTCTGAGCTTGCTCCTCTGATGGAATTGTTAGTTTCCAGAGGGCTATGGACCTCCCTTCTAATTATGGGAGTAGGTCTTCCTCTGAATGGCCTAGACAGAAGAACTCAGGGGATATTTTTCAGGTGGACCCTGCTTTGTTCACATGTACCTTCCTTATGGTTGAATTTCTCAGCAAGAAGACAGTTTCGTGGTGGGCACGGCTGAAGGCACAGTATTCCATTTTCAGCTGGTCTCTGTGACTTCCAACAGCACTGAGAAGCAGTGGGTGCGGACCAAACCATTCCAGCACCATACTCATGACGTGCGCACCGTGGCCCACAGCCCAACAGCACTGATATCTGGAGGTGAGTCCTCTTCGGGCCAGCCTGCCGCTTTACTATGCCAGCTCTGTATATTTTCGCAGAAGTCTTCACCTTCTGTCCCCATCTTCCCTCCACTTTGCCCCAGGCACAGATACCCACTTAGTCATTCGCCCTCTCATGGAGAAGGTGGAGGTAAAGAACTATGATGCTGCTCTCCGAAAAATCACCTTTCCCCATGTAAGTATCACGTATCACTCTCCTGATGTCCCCTCGTTCCCCATTCCATATGAATCTGAACACATCATACACCTTCTGGACAACTTTGTAGGCCTTTCTGTGGCTCCCTTAATTTTTCTCTTTCCAAAGCAAGCCTTCTTCAATTTTGGGGCCCAAGAGTTGCAGCAGCATAATTCCTTTGTCCTTATGAGAATTTGGTTAGTGTGTTTTCTGTTATTGAGTCGAAACAGAAAAATTCAGACTCCCAGTGTTTCTAGGTAAATGTTGCTATATTCTTAAGTGAGCCTTCCTCCATACCTGCTTCCACATTCCATTTGCCAGTGACCTTACTGAATATGTCCCCTCGTTTTTATAATGTATACTTTCTGTTTTTTGGGGTTTTTTTGTACCGGGAATCAAACTTGGGCCCTTGTGCTTGTGAGACAGGCATTGGAACCGCTGAGCTAAATCCCTGGCCCTATATATTCCAATTCTTGGACACTGTTGTATACAAACATATCTTCATTGAGATGTCTGGTATACATAAGTCACACATTCAATGTATATGATTAGATTTGGTAGGACATAGCCCTCATTATCTTTTTTTTTTTTTTTTTTGAGACAGGGTCTCACTATGTAGTTGAGAATGACCTGATACTCACAATATAGCTCAGGCTGGTCTCGAACTCACAGCGATCCTCCTGCCTCAGCCTCCTGAGTGCTGGGCTTACAGGCGTGTGCCACCACGCCTGGCTCTCATTATCTCTTGAATTGAGTCATTTGTTTGTGCTGCTGTGGCCCTAGTTAGGATCAGTGTCTTTATTCCTTAAGGAATTAAGCAGTAGCTTCCTTAATGATCTTTTTATTTCTGTTTGTGTCATTTTAGCCTGTTCTCCATTGATCTGCTTAAAAAGCAGCTTTGTTCATTGCTCCATGCTTAAAAGCCTTTGGTTGTTCCTGCTGTCTTTAGCATAGAGACCTAATTCCTTAGCATGGTGTCTTACTACTTTTCCTTGTTGTTGAGACAAAATACCTGACACCCAAGGTTAAAGGAGGGAAGGTTTATTTAGCACACAGTTTATAGAGGTTTCAGTCCATAATCAGCTGGCTCCACAGGGCGGCACAGCAGACAGGCATCACAAAGGAGAAACAGTTCATGGTAGATAGAAGGTCGCAAAGCAAGCAGGGGATCCTCACAGCTCTTTCTATCCCTTATATCTTATCCAGGCTACTTAGGGCAGGTAGCACTTGCACCCTTAATCCTAGCGCCCTTGATCCTAGCATTATACTATGAGTCAATTCCAGCACTGCGCACTCTTGATCCATCCATCTCTGAAAAAGACCCACCTATGACCACATGGGGCTTTCGGGTACAGCTAGGCATAAGCCATAGCACACAACATATTGAACCTGTTGATTTTGGACTAGTCCTTAAGCTTCTCTCAATGCTCCTTTCACACGCTTGTAGCAGCCCCTTCCCCACCTGGGCTAGCCATTCTGAAGGTCTCTTTTTATTCCTTTGAATGCCCTTTTACTTTTGAGCTATTTCACAAGCCATTATTTTCCCTAATATATTCTGCCCTGCCTTTGCCCAGCAAGTCTTTGTTAGCGAACCTCATCTGGGCAGCTGTATTGACCCCATAAAGCTAGGTTAAGCTGACCTTTTGGCCTTTTTTTTTTTCCTGTTGTATACTGTACTTAGCCATGTTAGACTTTTTGATACACTGTAGCATAACTGCCTATTTAATTTTGTCATCCTTTAGACTAGAAGCTTCTTTTTTTTTTTGGTACCAGGAATCAAACTCAGGTCTTTATACTTGTGAGGCAAGTGGCAGAACCACTGAGCTAAATCCCCAGCCTTAGACTAGCAGCTTCTTGAAAGCAATATCTGTTTTAGTCACTATTATGTTCTCAGATCCCAGGACAGTGCCTGCCCTGTGGTAGAATTTAGGAAATGTTTGCCAAGTCACTGGATTTCAACAATAAAAAAAATGCTGAGGGCCAGGGATTTAGCTCAGTGGTTCCACCACCTGCCTCACAAGCACAAGAACCCAATCCCCAATACCAAATAAAAAAGAAAGATGCTGAGATGTTGCTGCTGTATCTTGTACTGAGGCAGTAGATGACCTTGCTTTCTTTATAATGTTACAATTCTTGGGTACAGCGGCGACTCGTTTCCTGTTCTAAAAAGAGGCAGCTTCTCCTCTTCCAGTTTGCTCATCACTTGGAACTTTGGCGACTGGGATCTACAGTTGCAACAGGTAAGATGAAAGAAAGCTTTTTGAGTAATAAAACTGGACACTGAGTTTAGTGTTTGCAATCTCTTTGGAAGGCTGAGGCAGGAGGATTGCAAATTTGAGCCCTATGTGGACAATTTTGCAAGACCCTGTCTCAAAATTTAAAAAGTTAAAGGGCTGATAATATAGTCAGTATGAAGACCCTACAAAGCCCTAGGTTCAGTCTCCAGTGCTGGGGGAAAAAATTGTAAATGAACTTTTTTCTGATTTCTGTTGGGTAGAACTTCTGTTACACCAAGAAGTGACTTCTTAGATGAGAAAAATTATAATCTTCCTTTGATAAGGAAAAAAATGCAGGGAAGTTTTCTTGTTTCAGGCAAGAATGGGGATATCCTTCCACTTTCTAAAAATGCTGATCATTTACTGCACCTTAAGACAAAGGTAAGGAAAGTTCACTTTACTTAAAACATTTTCTCATTCTGAATTTTGAGGGTTCTGTTGTTCATATCATAAACTGTACAGATTCTAAAACTAAAGTGAAAGACTGTTCTTACCAGAGCTAGGTTTTATATTATTATAAGTTGGATGCTCAGAATATATTACACAAATGCATGCAGAAATAATTTTTTGTTCTTTTACTATTGTGAAAATAGCATGCATTTTTTAAAAACTCAGATGGTATAAAGGGAATATAATCAAATATGTCTCCTCCTCACACCATGCCTTTCTCATCGCACTTTCCAGAGATAAGCACTGCCAACAATTTTTTGTATATCCTTCTAAAAAATTCTTTTTCATTGTTTTGTGTATGTATATATATTCTTTTTACATTAATAGGACTACTAAGCAAATGCCTATTCCTTTTTAAAAGATCTTTAGTTCGGGAGTGGTGGTACCCACTTGTAATCCCAGCACTTGGGAGACTGATGCAGAATTACAGAGTTTGAGGCCACTTTGGACTACACAGTGAGACTGCCTTAAAAATAACTGCTCCCTTCAAAATAAAGGATCTTATTGGTTCCACTGCCTGGCTTGCAAGTGTGAGATCCTGAGTTCAATCCCTGGTACCAAAAAAAAAAAAAAAAAAAAAAAAAAAAAA